TGTGTGTGTATAAATGACTGATGTGAGCATGTATTTGCCACCACTGCAACTGTGGTGAATCAACCACTGGAAGGACCCCAGAGCTCCATACCACCATGGCACCAAAAGATCTGCTGAAAAATTTCTGGCCTGGAGCTATTCCATGTTCCAGGAGACAGATGAAGAAGTCTTGTCTCCCAGACCAGGCTACCGGCTCTGTGAAACCAAGATCTGTGCCTGTGTCACTCCTTTGGGCTTCATGTGACACCGCCTCATCAAATATAGCACAGTGTTAAGCACTGAGGTGCTCGGTGGTTCATTTCAAAGAATCACTTTCTGCTCCACACAATAAAAAAGAAACAGAGATATAGGAGGACAAAATACTCTTTGAAAATCAACTTTCTCTTGAACCTGCTCTCCTCTTTGTTTCTCTCTGTTCATTCCTACATCCAAAAGGAGATGCAAAAGTCTATGCTCTCTGGGGCTTCCCTAGGGGCTTAGGGGTTAAGTCTCAGTACTATCACCACTGTGGCCTGAGTTTGATCCCTGGGCAGGAAGCTACCCACATGACATAGCAGACCTCTCCTGACTGGCCTGCTGCTCTCCTCGGCAGTGTATTTTAGTAGATCCACCTGGTCTGCTCCCCACTCTGTCTCTGGTGAATCCTCTCAGTCGCTATACCTCTGGCCTGCACCCCAGTTCTTCTAAATAAAATAATAAAAAATAAAACAACTAAAAAAAAATGTCTATGCTCTCTGCTTTATTTCCTTCCTACCCACTTTCCCTTCACACTTTCTGGCATCTATTTCCAACTCCCAAACAAATCAACCCTTCTCAAGAATTCTTTCTCTCTTTATCCCTTAAGTCTCTGCTGTGTCAGAAACTGCTTGCCAAGTTCTGGAAAAGGGCTTTTTCCAGAGTTCCATCTCACGAAGGCAAGAAGAACCGCACACCTGGGATTCATTCTCCATAGCCAGAGATCTAAATTCTTGGCTCTGGACCTTGAAAGTAAGGAAAAGGGGGAGTCCAGGCCAACTTAAAAATAAAAACTTTCCTGAAGAAAGGACAAGCATCATGGGAAGCCTTGGGGGGGTGGGGAGAAGGAATGCCATCCAGGGACTTGGAGAATTTAAAAATACAGTGTCTCCCCTGAGAGTTCGTTTTGTAGATTTCCAAGCAATATTTGTGAAGAGCTCTTTACAAGGAGCTTGGAAATCTTGGCATATACTCCATCATTCCTAGGATTCACTGCATGGTCTGGGGGCAGATGAAGAGATGAAAAGGGAAAGACAGCAGAAAAGAAAAATGGCCAGAGCACCTAACAAGGAAGAGCCCCCTTCGAAATGCAGATGGTCATGGCACCCTGCAGGAAAGTGAAGGGTACACAGCTGCCAGGGGTCCATGGGGCTGCTGTGAAAGCACAGCTGACCATGTCACCATCATAGAGCTGCTAAATCATGTGTGACATGTGTTTATGATCCTCATTGGGTCCCCAAAGACTCAGTCTACTAAACTACTTGCAGAATGCTTTTTAACAGGGGCCCACCTGGAATTTGGGGCAGGGGGATTCTCTATTTCAAAAGACAGTTTAGCTTATTCAGCATCCTTAGAGCCTGGAACATCAAGAGCATTGTCACATCCCAGTCATAGTGACCATCTAAAATTGCCACGCAGGTTTCCAAACACTGGCAGGGGATTCGGGGGCGATGTCCTGTTGATAACTAGATTTTGAGCTTTCTGCAATAACACAGATCAAGCTTTCTTCTACAAGAACATTCTGATGGGGAATAAATCAAGTGCAAGGTTTTAATCCTAGAAGGGTGGAGGTGCAGGATGAGAGGTCCTACTGGGAGCTGCTGAACACCTAGGAATCTGGTCCGACACAGGGAAGGCAGGCATCCGGCCTCTGCAGGGCTGGCCATTTGCCAAAGTGCTGGAATTGGACAAATTCTCACCAGTGTTTAGAAACTCCTTCACTGTGACAGAATCTCCCCCTGAGCTGCTGCTTCATGATAGAAGGTACTTTCCTTGTGAACCAGAAGAAAGAGAATCATAGAATTTCACTGTTCAAAGGACTTTAAAACATCACTTACACTCAGGAGAAGTGGTGCCCTGAGAAGTTAAGTAGTTTGCCACTGCCATGCAGCAAAAACAAGAAGAGTTTGTGCACATAAAGTGCTAGCACTGGGACAGTACTCAATAACTATTACCCATTAGCACTGTCATTCCAACATCCCAGGAAGTCCACCAAATGTTTTGTGTGGTATTTCCCTGGAAGGCAGGAGCTCCACCTACTTGATTCCTGCTTAATATACTTCCAAGCCAAGGACAGGTCCATGTGGTTTCTGTCAAAGTCCAACAGAAAGACCATGAAATGAAATCAAGATTCTTGTTCACAAGCCCAGACTCTATTCCTGTTGGCATTCTGGAGGGCCACTGTTTGTGAGGCTGCAGCCCACATTTTCCATGAAAATAGTAAAAGATTGAGTGCTAGCAGTGGAAAGGAAGCTGAAAGCTGCCTAGCTTACAAGCTTTCTAGAAAGCAAGTCAATCATACCAAGAGTTTGGTACATGGATGGATAAGTCACACTTTTTATTTTTGCCCAGGATGAGTCTGAAAGTGAGTGTGACAGGAAGTCTTTATAACAGAGAGGTTGAGTTGGAAGGGTCGAGTTGGAAGGAAGAGGCCTGAAGCCAGGAGGCTCTTGCACAGAAGGAGCAGGAGATTGATAGTGTTTGAGACCATCATATCGCCCTTAGCACAGATGCCCTTCTCTCCCTGCTCCATGTTTCATGCCCTCACCCCCATCTTTTTATCCCCTCTCAAGATCACTGCTCAATCTGTGAAACGTGCAAGTGAATCTAGAACTCTTACATTCAAAGTTTGAATTCACTTCATGATTTCCGAAGACACAGGCCAAAACTCATCTACCACATCTACACTGTGAGCACCACTTAGAAATAGAATCCTGTTCCCCCAGGCTTGTTCCTTAGAACACTCATTCCAAAAGATACACTGCCTGGAAAAAAGGTTTTAGAGCCAAATGATTTAAAAATTTTTGGGAAATGTTGTTACCCCCACCTGTTTTTAAAAGACTTTCAGTACAAATTAATGTACTAAAGACATCAAGATGTCTCGCAGTAAAAATCTCAATAATGCTGACCAATCCAATGATCCTCAAACTAATTTGATTACCAAAGCCTAGCAACATCCTGTGCAACAGTATTTTTTTTTTAAGATTTATTTATTTATTTATACAAGCACTGGGTACAGTCAGAAGCACGGGAGGGTGAGAGAATTCACCAGAGCCAGAGAAGAGAGCAGAGCAGGCAGAATGACGAAGTACACTGCTGAGAGGAGCAGCGGGCATAGCAGGAGAGGTCTGCGCGCCATGTGGGACCCTCACCTGGTGGCCGGCGATTGAACCAGTGCTGCAGAGGCTGCAGGCAGCTTTGCAACCCAGCGCTCAACCATTGCGCCACCATGGAGGCCCATGTGCAACAGTATTTTACTGAATATAATTTGTTAGATTCCAACTGGGGTGATCAGGAATAGGTTTCAAGGAGGAAGAAACATTCTGAATGGGCCCACAGGAGACAGGGTTTCATTAGAGGGAGACAGAGGCAGGTTATGTCACCTGCTCCTTCAACTCACACTCACTGAGTTCATGTAGGAGCCAGGCCAACTGCCCTGGTGCTACCAGGGGACACGAAGACCTTAAAGCCCTGGTCTCTACTCTGAGGTAGATGCTGGCTTAGATTTGAGAAAGAGAACCTAATATCTGGGGAATAGCAAGTATGTGGCAAGGTAAGGTGTGAAATAGACAAGGAAGATTAAGAAAACAGCAGTGTAGGACTAAATATCCAAAAAAGGAGTGATCAGAACAGTTGTTTGCCAGGCCACTTAATCCAAGTTAACTGGCTGAGGTAGTGACAGTCATTTCCCTCTACCACGGTTAGAATAGAAACCCCAGGCAAGCCTTTCCCTTCTCTGGGCCTCAGTTTCCTCATCTATAAAATGGTCCCTTGTCCTTGATGTGTTAGCATCAAAGACAGCATGTATCAGCACTAAAGGACAGGAAAGCTATGGGGGCAGGGGAAGAGTTATGGTTTGGATATATTTCCCTTACAGGAAAATGAGAAGGAAAAATGAAACCAGGTCCACGTTTAACTTTCAGGGACCAGTCCCATTCCACCTGATTTGTGGTCTACATTCCAAGAGTCAATTTTGCTCAAGAAATTGAGGAGAGTAAAATTTAATTTTTGTACTAAAACTGGGGCATTAGACTAGAATCCAGTATTCCAAATGTATTTTGAAGATTAAGAAATGAGAACTTAAATATCTGGCTGACCTATTATCTGATGGCTCCAGAGTCCCTGGCAGTGCTCATTCACTCTCTCCCAGTCCTAAGACCACATTTGGAGGGAATTTGAGTGGGAAACTCAGAATCTTTGTTATTTAAATCTTAAAAAGATAGAAACCTACTATCCAGAATTAAGCCTTGCTAATGAGATTAGAACTCACCATTGGACTGATCTTCCCCATAGTTCTTGTGGGACGGTGCGTACAAGAACATCAAAGCAAAGACATACAGGTTCCACATCCCATAGATGCCTGTGAAGAAGGCACTGTTCACCTGGACAGTGACACCGCCCCACTTCCAATGGCCTTCAGTCACCTATGGAAAAAGGAGAGTGACATTCAATTGGAAAGGAGAAACAAAACACAAACATGGAATCAACCGAAGCAAATACCAAGTCTCTTGTACACATGTGAAAAATTAGAAGCCATGTAAGACTCCATTTCTTAATCTGAATCATATAAGAATGAATTAAGATTAACTGAGAGTTTATTTCATGATAGGCACAAAGTAGGTAGCTCTCAACTTGGATGCACATTAGAATCACCAGAGAGTGTCTTCCTAAGATAGCAATGTCATTATCCCTAATTTAAGGAAATTGTGTTTCAGTCTAACAGTTATCCATAATTATAATTCCCCTTCTGCTATCTGTCTTTCTAGAAAATGTAAACTCTCTGCAAGCAAGACCAGTTCTGTTTTGTTGACTATCTTTTCAGTATACTTGATGTACCACAGAGGCTCAATGAAAACAGGATGATTAAATAAACAAATAAATCCATAAGGTGAGTAGTTATCCTCAATGAGGCATTGTGGGGAAGCAGACAGCTTAGAGACCCAGACTCAAATCCAGGGTCTACTATTCTCTCCACTTAACATGAACAAGTCAATTAAGACACTGAACCTATTTCCTTAAGGGCAAAATAAAAACTTGCAGGGTTACTGAGAAAAAATAAGTAAAAATAGTTCAAGAAATTTCCTCAGACACAGCAAACACTCCAAAAATCTTAGTTATGTGTAGAATCCATGTCAGTCACTTACAAAGGTAATTATAAAGCTTTCATATGATTCATGATTCTGCAAGGTTGTCTTGAAGCTGCTTTTGTCTGTGTTCATGACTCGGTAATTGTTTTAAGGGTTGTCTGATGACATATGGATTATACTAAGAACAGTCAACAGAACTGTTGAGTTGAGTGCCTAATAATTAGTGCCAGCTCTGGGATCAATGAAATGATTTTGACCACTTCTGCTTACTACAGGGAATTTTAAATGGGAGTAAAAGAGAGAGTTGGACAAATGTTTCTATGATAGCTTAATGAAGCTGAGTTATATAAACCATTTCTAGAAGCCCCTCCTAAACTAGAAGATAGACAGTTATACCTATATGTTAATGATTTCAGCAAGCAGGCTGATTTCACCTCCTGTTTATGAAGCAGTGTGTCCATATTCATATGCAACTCTTTATAACCTGTTGACTCACTTGGCCCCCTGGTGTAATAAAGGTATAGGTGTACATATTTCCCTTTGAATGACCTAAATAGACTGAATTTTCATTTGGTAATACATGATTTTTCATTTTTGTGATTCATAAAACTACCACCACCAACTCTTCTTTATTTGATAAAATAATTTTCTTTCTATGATGTGCTCAGGAATATTTTTTGAAAAGGAATGATTTTATAACCACTATTGAACTTTAGACCAAGGTACTAGCACTCAAGCTACATAGGACTTACTTTTTTGAAATGTCTCCAGATGTCACTCTTCTTACTTTTAAGAACAGAAAATCCTAACTTTATAAAAATTACAGTACTCAGAGTATCATAAGATGCTTTTAATGAATTTAAATGAAAGGGGAGAGGAAGCCTTAAGATACTGTAGTTCCTGGAAAGACATGTCCCCACTGTCCTAGCAAAGGAACTCTCTATGATTAAGAAGAGCTATCTGGGTGAACTATGGCTAAGAAGGAATATGATAGTACCTTTTCTTTTACTCTGAGCTCCTTACAGGGATGGCCTGTAAGAAACACTACTTTCTGTAATGTAAGCTGGGATATTCAGTACTGATGATGTTGCTGGAGTTAATTCTGGCTGTGATTGGCACAATACCCACCCACATGCCTGATTCACACTGGTGTTAATAGGCAGGGGGCTGTCAAGGACAATGGGCGTGTGCAGGAATGCTAGTGCAAATAAAGGCAGTCATTCTTAAGAAATGACTTGCTGAAAAGAAAATATTGCATTCCATAGTAAATCAATAATTGTGCCTAAAAGTAAGAGGGCAAAGACTAGTGTTAATTCATTTAAATATTGCTCTCTTTTATTCATTTTTTTTATCACTTATCACAAAGCATTTAACACAGATAATGGAAAAAAATAAGATTCTTTTATGATGAAAACAAGGATAAGGAGAGTTAACAAAGTGCCTGCCATTAACATGACAGGCATTATACTGAGAAACTTACATGAAAGATACTATTTAGTCATAAAAACAACTCTATGAGATAGGTAGATAATATTTCCATTCCACACATGGGTTAATTTTTCTCTGGGAAAGCTAAGGTTTGATATGAAAAGCTAAGATTGTTCAGCTAGAAAGTCATGGTCCTGACTTCGAAAGAAGGTATTCTTGGCCATTACAGGACACAAGATATGCATATTACCTTAAGCAACTATTGTGTGGGGTCAAATTTTCTTTGAAAGTTCACTGAATTGCCCACCTCATACATAAATTACACAGCATTCCAATAGGTTTGTCTATTCCAAAGTTCATGGCTATAATACATGCTAGTCACAGTAAATATGTGGTATATATGAAGCTGCATATATGTTCAAAATATAATTTTGGAGTAGAACCACTGACATGAAATGTTCATTCTGGGAGGGGTATACAGAAGCTGAAATTGTGAGCATATTCATGCTTTTCTCTTGTTTGTTTTGGGACATATGCACACAGTTTAGGATGGAGTGGCAGAATTACTCATACTATTGAATTTGTAATCTCTCAATGTATTATTTCCTGCTGAGGACAAAGAGTTGAATTTGCATAAATGAACTGTATGCACAGTGTCACAGTACTGTTTGGAGATTTATTTGTGCTTCCCCCTCTTCTCTCTCAATTATTCATGCCTGAGACATCCTGAGCTCCGGGCACATTCCCACCAATATGTACCACATTAAACAGCCTCAACAGAACAGGACTTCTAAATTCAAAATCTTATTAAAACCAGGCAGAAAGAGGTGGCAGGCACTCCCTTTAGCTTTCCCAGAGAAAAATCAGGCAGACCCACCAAAGAAAAATCATGTCTCCTCTGCATATGTCTTATTTCTAAAAGTCCCTGGTTTTCCTGATTTAACATTTGAACAATATACTTTTGTGTTAAACTACCCAATTATACCCTTGGAGCCAACTGAAGGTCAAATCCTTTTACACCCAGTAGTCTTGACAACCAACATTCCACTTAACAACAAGATTTCAAAATCTCAGACAGACTCTCTAACTGGAAACATTTTCTCTGTAAGTGACAGAATGAAGTGATAGTGTGCAAACACGCAAACACCCCCCCACACATACACACACACCCTGGGGACAGGCTCTCTGGGAGTTCACTGCATGTGGCTTGACCTGAATGTCAGGCTGCAGGGATCTCCTTAGTGAAGGTCAGTGACCTTCTCCCCTGCATTGCACTTCTGTTCCCTACTGCCTACCACCTCTAACTGGAACACCTCTTTCTTTTCCAGAGGGAAGGGGCTAAAATACCAGACTGTGATGTACCATCTCTTGGTTGCTATGACTAGGGCCATTAAAATGGCAGGCATTAAAAGCTTGGACCTCAGGAACCAGTTACAAAGCCTCAAGGTCACTGCATTCCACAGCTTCCCTTCGGCCTTTCATTCCTGGCCTCAGAGCTTCAATATCCTGGCGAGATCCCCACGCATTATATTTCATGGGGCTTAAATGCAAGCTCTCCCAGCAAGCCTGAGAGTATAATGGGAGTTTTAATACATTCCTTTTACCTAAGGCTGGGATCTATTTCAAAAAGTTACCCAATAGGTTTTCTTTCAGGTGAGCTCATTGCTGAGACATTCCAAAATGACATTAAAAAAATAAATCCTCTGATGACTCTATTAATACAGTACCTGGGACATTGAGAGTTATGCCTGAAAATGTCTTAGATATCTATAAATAAACCTTAGGAAAAAAAAAACCCAGCAGGAAGAATGTGAGGAGCTAATGGAATCCAAAAGACCTCATTGCTACCCCCTTAAGAGTTGAAATCCACTCCAGCCGACTATTGCAGCAGATATAAAAAGCCAGCCACAGGCTACAGCTATGTTAGAAAATACTGGGGCAAGGGAATATTAATCCCCTTTTTTTTTTTTCCCCAAAAGAAAGCCACAAACGATACTCCTTGAAAGACTGGCCTCCTTTGCTTTAAAAATGTTCATTAATTAGCATGTACAAGGTTAAGTTCTAGTGACATGTAGCTGCCTTAAAGGACAGCCAAGAGTCTTTGACTCCAGGTGGAAGGGATTCTGAGGAGACGAGAGTTAAGTGGGATGCGTGCGAGGAGACGGCGTCAGCTTTCCAGAGTGGAAGAAAGAGGCTAGGACGGAAAGTGCCCCTACTTTCTATCTTCCTGAGAACATATCTCGGTACTTATCTTTTATTCCTCAACCCATCTGACTTGAGGTTGTTTCTCCAAGCAGTTGGGTCTTGCAGAACCTTCTGCATTAAGCCTCACAGTGAATGACTGAGTGACTAGAGGATCAGAAAGCATTTTGGTCACATGAGGAAATCAACCAAGGGAAGTCAGTCCTCAAGACACCCTTGTTTGAGACCCAGCTAGTTGAATAAAAAACTCATTCACAATCTGAAATATTCTTAGGGCTTTTGGAGTAGAGAGTGAAGTTTCTAAGGTCTTATAAACAAACAGTGTGCTACAAATGCAGCACTGTTGTAAGCCAAAGCAGATGTAATGAACAGAATTTATTAAGATACATATGCATATTTGTTTTATATTTTTCCACATTCAGTTCAGCAGCAACACTAACACTACCCAGCGGGCAAGCATAGCCCACAGGGCTCTGGGAGTTCCAAACCTGGGTTATAGGTTTGTCAATCCTTGGACAGAATTCAAGTTGTTCGTAAATTTCAATAGGAAAAGTTATATTTTTATTTTCACCAGTTCTCTAACTGAAGGTTACTGTTTCTTTCAATTATGAGTGTAGAAAACAAATCTCCATAATATTAGCGCCACCTATAATTTTTTCACTGATAGAAATCATCTGTTCATAGCAGAGAGATATGTGTAATATAGAGAATTGAACATATATATCATCTATCCACTTACCTATTTGATTCCCTTTGAAATCCAAAGTATTTTATCTTACTCATTTAAAAACATTCAATGGGAAGGGGCCTTATCTTTCACCAGACAGCCCAAGAGGCTCCTGGCACAAAAAAACTTGGATGTCCTTATACTGGAAGGAAATTTGCTAGTAGAATGAATCAGGCCTATTCCCGAAGCTCTAGCTGCACTAACATTCTCTGTGTGGTCAAATACAGGAATGACAGAGCAGTTGGCAAGAATCAAAAGAACTGCACTCTGGTCCCTAATTCATAGTGTCCTTTGGCACAACATTCTCCCTTCTAGCTATTGACATGAACACAGCTACTTATGCTCACAATGTGCCAGGC